GTTCGTCGGGAGAGGGACGCGGAAAGGCAGGCGTTGATCGATGAGGCTCGTAGGGTACAGCTTCGTCAGGCGAGCCAGAGTTCCCGCCCCCCCGCACCAGTGCCCACTGGTCCATATCATTTTGAGGGACAGCCAGGTAGTTCGCGACCCCACGGAGCCATCCCGTACGGCGAACATGGATTTTATTATCCTGGCCAGGCGGGCAGGACGATGCCCCCGGCACCAGGACCGTACGATCAGCCGGGATGTGCTTTTCCCCGCTTCGCAGGGAAGTCGTTACCCCCCCGCGCACGCGTACCATTAACTTATGGTCAGCAGGGGTATGCTGATGATGAGTCGTACGGCGAGAGGGAGCCGGGTCCAGAGGACCATGACTCGGACGACTCTTTAGATGATCAGGACCACGCACAGCCTACGGGTCCTATCCACCCTCGTCCTACTGTACAGCCAGTTCGTCCGGTACAGCCGGTTGTACAGCATGTTCGTCCGGTACATGCTGTTCGTCCCACACAGCGTGCTCCTCAACGGCAGGCTGGGGGGCGTTTTGGCCCTTCTGCATCCTCATCAGGTAAATAATTTACTTATTTATTGTTGTTTAACATAAATTATCGGTACTGTTAGAAAAGTATTATCGGCCTGCTTGTCAACTACAGTATAATTATTTTGTAATTTAGGGTAAGTTGAATAAATTGTAATTAATTATAAATTCAAAAGATAATATTAATAATTATAAATTATATATGCTTATAATAATAACGTAAAACGTAAAATGTAAAATGTAACGTAACTAATAAAATATGTTTTATTAAATATATTTTATTTAATGCATCTGCCAGCAAGTCAATATATACAGATATGTTGTATTTTAATGCAGGTACTAGCAAACGAGCTAGGACCGATGATGATGCACCTTGGATCGTTAGAGGCCCAGTGCCCGGTGGGCCCATTGATGGGAGTGTCATCCCTAGCTTTCTTGGGCACGTCGCCTCCCGCATGTGGAGTGGGAATTTGAGGGGGCTACTGAAATGCCACAACAGAGTGCGAGCGATCGATAATCTGAAGGCTTGGCGTGAAGAGATGTCTTCCGATGCGAGAGCTCTTCTCGACCAGACCGGGCTGTCACATTTGGTCGACTCCATGCACACCCAGTTGGACACTCCACTCCTTTCTGCTTTTGTGGAGCGATGACAGCCGGATACTAACTCGTTTCACATGCCTTTTGGTGAGATGAGCATCATGCTGCACGACGTCCGGACCATTTTGGGCGTTCCAGTGGAGGGAGTCGTGGTCGCTGAGGACCCGGATTCAGACGCCTGCCATGGGCTCTGCATGTCGATACTTTCGGTCACCAAGGGCGAACTTATGAGTTCGTTCTGGCAGCGTGGTTCGGTGTCCGAAGCCGCCATTTCGGGGGCATTCATTGTTCGTGGGTGATGCTGGCTACCACATTGTTCGTCGACAAGAGTGGTAGTAGAGTGACCCCCAAGCTCCTGAACGAGGTGCTCGACGGCTTGGATTTGATTGGGGGTTACTCATGGGGATCGGCTACGCTGGCATACATGTACAGACAGCTAGGTATTGCCAGCCGAGGGGACTCTGCCCAGATGTCGGGCTGCTTGACTCTTCTACAGTCTTGGATATATGAGTATTTCCCCGATTTCTGACCCCGAGGGCGTCTACCCATCGGTCCTGACTGTCTCGCACGATCACGCTCGTGGGGCGTAGGGAATGCGCCACGGTCAGACGATCGGCTCACAGCCATCCGTCGGCGCCTCGACAGACTCACTGCCTCCGATGTACGTGAATTTATTTTATTTAAATTTAGTTACCCGTTATTTAAAATAACATAATTATTTTTATAAATTCTCTTATGCAATTGTGAACAGGTGCAATGGTTGCCATACGGCAGCTCCAGCCCAGATGCGATAGAGCCGAGGACTCTTTATAGCGGATGGATTCGATACCGCGATGTCGTCGAGCCGTACTTGCCTTCGCGGTGTCTGCGTCAGCTGGGGTATGTCCAGACTGTCCCTCCCCCTATATTCCCGCCAATCAGTGCAGTACGTGCTTGGGAGTCTAGGAACTACAAGGTTGAGCATTCTGAGGCTGGTGCAGTATCCCTCTGGACCCAGTTCCCGATGTCTGGGACGGTCAACACAAGTATGTTGACCCAGACCACACAGGATCGCGGGGAGGCGACTGAGGATTACCTGCAGTGGTACAGTCGGGTTTCCCATCCGACTCTCATGGGCAAGGAGCTGCCGGACGAGGACGAGGTCCCAACGCGTGTCAATACCGCCTATGTTAGTTGGTTATTAAATTTTAATTAATGTTAACTCATTACAATTTTTTTTTTTAATAAATTTTAGTCTTATGTTTTTATTCTTCTATTTTTTTAGTGGGTGGACCGTCTTTTGGGCATTACGTCGACCTTGCAGCAGATTGTTCCAGACTGTCCGGAGGCGGCGGAAGTCGAAGAACAGCTCGCTAAGTTTAGGTTGGATTACGACAATGCCCAATAATGATGTAATGAATGTTTTTTTTTTTTTAATTATTATTGTAAAACATTAAGTTGAATGATTTTTTTTTTTTTTTTTGCTAAACTTAAGTTGAACTGATTCATTTATTTATTTTTATTTGCTAAACTTAAGTTGAATGAGAAGCGTTACACCACAAGTGAATAATATTGTTCTTTTATTCAAGAAGCTTTTGTTTGAACAGTATACCACAATTGCCACCTAGACTGGTACTGATGCTCCCAACCCACAACCGATTGATCTCGGTAACGGAACCACATGTTATGAATAGGCGGTAATGGACAATCATCAGTCAAATCTAAATGAATGTAGTGTTCTACGGTACCAAGATGGCAAATGGCAATCTCACGACATGGTCCTCTAGCCGATGATCGTGCAGTGAGAAGCAACACTGTGGTGCTGAATAAGTCGTGCTGCCCACCGTTTGGACCAGAGCTCAAATGAATGACAACCACATTAAATAGGGTCGCAACGGCATAGAGGTCCTGCGGAACATCGAACCAGTGAGTCGGTCGACAAGAGCCTCTGGCCCACCTTATGCGACGGAGTCCGGCCTCGATATCTCTAAAATAGATGTACTCGTACAATTCAGGGTGGTTGTCGACCTCCTTCGCAATGTTTTCTCTTGCATCTGGCAGTACTTCTGATGACCATACATGTGACTCGCGATGACCCGAAATCCGCAGTTACCATCCGCTTCCACATTCAGGTAACTCACTATGTAGTCCAACATATGCCAGGGGATACATTGCCAGTATGAAAATCCAAAAATATTTGTCGGTCTAAACTCTGCAATAAACATCATAATAATTTCACGTCACAATTTATATAATCATGTAAATACTTTAATTAACGCTCAGCCGTATTTAAAAAAAAAAAATGTATGACCTTCATCCCCTTGTGACTGTTGAGAAGACGAACTTGTCTGTCCACGAGAAGAATTGGTCGTACGGCTCGATTTCCGACCTCGCGATTTTTCGTTGTACTCAAAAGCAGATGGTTTACGCTTAGTTGAATTAGTTTTCTTGGGACGACCTCGCGGGTTATCCTTAACCTCAGGTTCCGCATAATCCTGTTGGTCTGGGTAAAGATGA